TATCCTGTTCAAGTACAGTATACTATATCTCTCAATTTTAAGTTATTTTGTATTATTTTAGGGTAAGGTTAGGCTAAGACAATTTCTGGGCCGAGCGCTGCGGCCAGGAAGGGATTTAAATTTCAACAATTTTCAACAAAATTAATACATATTTAAGGTTAGGTTAAGACCTTTTCCAAGGACAGGCTACGGGGCCGAGCGCCGCGGCTAGGACAGGCTAGGGGGCCGAGCGCCGCGGCTAGGACAGGCTATAGGGGCCTGGCGCTGTCTTACATATTCATGAACACAAATGATAGGAGGGGGGGGAGGGGGGTCCAAAATTCGTATACTAGGGAAATTACCCCAGTTGTAAATCGGGCATTGCCAATTGCCATCTTTTCATGAAGGGTCACTTGAAATTACGCTTACTACAGTCCCTTTGATATTTATTTTCAGACCCGGATCTAAGACAGTCATGACTGCTTGAAACATATTTCTTTTTCTTTACTCTAAAATGAACATAGTATCGAGTAAATAAGAATATGAATGACTCACAAAAATATATTGAATTAAATATTCAGAAAAACTATGAATATTTTCCATTTACGTTAATATTCATTTCATTAAAGCTAACTTCATATTCAATTTCAGAGAGTGCAGGCTAAGATATTTTTGGTCTGTCTGCTAAAATACAATAAATTAAATGTACACAACACACACTATAATACGAAGAAGTGGCCTTTACGCTTAAGGGCCCGGGAACCTCTAAATAAGTATTTCCAATAACAAAAGTAAAATGTGCAAGAGTTAGATAAAAAGTGACAAATAAAAGAAATTGAATCAAGATTTATTTGAATTTAAAAAACGTTGTTTTCAGGGTCCGCAGAAAGGCAACTTTCGCCCACTTGCTGTCAGTGGTAAACACTAAACTTAAAAATATTTTTAAATAAAAATAATGAACAAAATTTAAGTAGAATAAAATAGAATTTTTTTTTCACAAATTATGAAAGTTATATTTATCCCTGGTTTAAGAGCCTCCTTACCGGCTAATGTTTACATTTTGCATAATATAACTGAGAGCAGAGACATCTGTAGGTAAAAATGGGCATTAAAAGTAAGGCAAATATTAATATTTTTATACAAGTAGATAATTGAAGGGGGGAGGGCGTGTGGGAGATTCTTTGGAAGTGGGTGAAATCTGATGAAAAAGACATTTTTGTAAAAAAATATAAAAAAGTGAAAAAATAATAATAATAACAATAATAATGATAATAATAATAATAATAATAATCATAATGATAAAGTTCAGAAAGAACAAGTTGCAGAAAAAGATTTCTGAGATGAATTTTGCGGAGTTTCCTAGAGTTTAGAAAGGATACTCTTGTCAGAAGTACCTCATCTTTTATACATCATTAAACACCGAATTTGAGCATCATATGTTGGCAATACTATTTATTAATAGCCTGAATGTTAAATATTTGTTAAATATTTTTGTAAAATTTTCAAAATTCGTTCTACATGCAAAAAGATTGGTTCAAAATTTTTTCCAACTTTGTCCAAAATTTTTCCAAAACTTGTGAAAATTGTTGGAAATTTGTTGGAAATTATTGTGAAATTCGCAATAATATCCTTCAAAATTTTTGTAATATTAGTTTAATTTTTCGACCTTTCTTTCAAAGTTTTTTTTTGAAAAAATCCAATCTTCTTGATGGGAAATGGAAAAATTTTGATTTTTGTTAAAAAAAATTAAATGAAACTTTCGCGAAAATAAGATTAAACATGTTGTCAAAAAAACATAAAAATTTTCCAAAAATTTTGAATGTAAAATGTATTTTATTGCTTATAGGATGGGTTGTCATTAACAACCATTAACAACAGGTTGTCATTAACATTTGTTAACAAAAGAGCTATCATTAAGAAGAAGTTTAAAGAACAAAAAAAATTACCTACCTTCGTTAACAAAACAAGGAACTAAATCAAAAAATGACTTCTTTGTATTTCTCTTTTAAAAAATCAACCTTGTCAATAACAATCCTTTCGTTTTTTGCTTTATTTCTACAATTGTTTTTCAAAAAAGTAAAAATGATCCATCTTCCTAAGTCCATGAAGTTTTTGCATGAATGATTGTGATGAAATACACAACAATTTTTTCATAAAATTCAATAAAAACTTTTATTAACAATAAAACATTAAATATAAATCTTTTATTATCAAGAAAATGTTAATTTTTGTATTGTTTTTTACCCAAGTAATATGATACAGGATATTTACTGAATTATTTTATTATATTATTTAAAGGTCCACTTAAACTGTGAACAAGTGCATGTGAATCTACTTTATTTCAATTTAACTAAATAACTATTTAAAATTATATTTTGTCCCTCGCTAAAACTCTGGGGAAAAAAATAATCTGAAAAGGCTCAAGAACCTTTTTGATAATAGGAAAATGTCTGTACAAAAACTTTATAGTATGTTGTGCCAACACTAAATAGTGATATAAGTTGTTTATGGAGAAAATCCAGGAACCAATCAAAACTTTATATCACAGTTATATAGTGAAAAACTAATTTAACATTATAACACAATGATTACCTTATAGCATGGTGCTATAATATAAAGCTAATTTAACTTCCTAGCATGTCATTAAGTGAGTAAAGGATGATATAGTAAGAAATAGTTTTATGAGTAATTTTCCATTAAGCGATTGGATCTTTCATAAAAAGTTTAAAGGCATTTATAGATAACAACAGATAAATTCTTATAATATTTATATGAAAATTGCTAAATTGAATTGGACAAATACACTACAATCAAAGTTATAATGTTTAAAACTCTTTGTATGAAACTAGCAGATGAACCCAGTATTGCCCATTTCTAACAGTCTTTGATAGGGTTTCCATTCATAATTATGTTACTCGTAATTACGGGTTGTTACGAGTAACACTTTCTTTCACTTAAGGAGGATATGACAGGAAAATAAAGGTTAATTATGCATCAAAAAAGAAAGTCTAGTTTCGCATAATTAAGGCGTAATTACGCGAAACTATGTAATATGAAACCATTCCATAATTGGTAAAGTACATATTAATTCTCAGAAATGAATATTGAATATAGCGGGAAAATATGTGTAAGGATATGTGCGCTACAACCATGTCCAATCTGATTGCATAATTTAAATACTTTCAAATTGAAGTTCCACTAATAGTGTGTAATTATTACAATATTTCGCGAAATTAATTAAATAAGAAGTGTATATTTTATGTGAACATTTAAAATAAACTTTATATTTGCAGTGCACAGACCCTTTCTAAAATGAGATACTGGCCTAACTAATGGTTCATTAACAAAATGAGAGATAGAATTATATCAAATATGAAGATAATGATGATCCCAAATATGATGATGATGATGAACATATATGCAGCAAGAATTTTTGGAAGGAAAGGCAAAAAAGTGCACTAAGATATCATCAGAAATTTGCCAAATTAAGATCAGTTCATTATTGGATTGGGACATTTTGATATCTGGCGAAAATTTTGACACAATAACTAAACTGGATCTGGGGAACAATCTTATCAAAACCTTTTGAGCAGCCACACCTCCCTTGATGAACAAGGCACATTAATAAAAGAAAAACACATTTGAGGCTTTCTTACTTTCTTAACATGCATTTGTAGTCTTCATATTTCATCATTGTTATACACTTTGCATCAGACTAAAGAATGTTGGTGCTTTTCTTGGAATTTGATCAGACCTTTACCCAGGTCCATTTTGAATGAAAGTCAAAATTCTTTGCAGATATTAAAATGTCCCAATCTAATTTTAAACTGATGCAAATTTTGTGGATTTCTGATGATTTCTTGGCGGATTTGAATGTCTTTATTTTGAAACACTTCCCAAAAATCCTACTGTAATAAGATAATATTACTGCTACTGGTCTATATATCCAGTGTATCTAGTAAAGTGGATTACTGGAGTGAGGACTATGATTCAGGTCATAAAAAAAAAATTTTGAATATGGAACAATTTCACAGGTCTAACACAGGGATATCTAGAAAAAATGAGATTATTTTAAACAAAAAAGATTTAATATTCATAGCCTAAAAAAATAATATTGTACAATTGTACAACCTCCACCCCNCTTTGGTAAAGAGAGATTATTAGAATGTTGTAAGAATTAAAGCAAACTATATCAAATTATAATCCCTTCTTTTTCAAATTTAATAATAGTTCAGAATTTTTTTTTTCCTGAAATATATTTCCTGAGAAATAGTAAATGATGTTTAAAGAGTTATTTCAAGTGATCTTGTAATTACCCTATAAACCTTTGACTGATAAGAATTTCAGAAATATCCTATGAATCTACTGAGACGTTTTTAATTGTTTTTTGTTTGCATGCTCCTATATATTTAAAGGGAGAGACCGGCTATGTTACATATTTGAGCTTAGAATGCAGGATTGTAGAAAAAAAACTTTGGGATTCATTTGATACCAATGCTGTACATAATTCTTAATTAAGAGCGTCAATTGTTGTTTGTAATATATCACCAGCTGTTTCAGCCAGCAGAAGAAACAACAAGAAATATTAATTGTTACTTTAGAAGTACCAGAAATTAAAAATTTACTTTCAAATGTTTCAAAACCCTGCTTAACTTAAAAAACTTTATATTTTAGCTAAAAACTGTAAGGATGAAGGTCTTATCTTAGCAATCAGACAGAATAAGGTAGTTTTTATTAATAATTAAAAAATAAAATATCATCATATTAAAGCTGCAGAGGACATGAAATGGACACTGCAGATTCTAAAAATCGGTTAGGATTATTTACATTTTATCTTATATCTTATTCGAATTAAAACCAGGGGTATAGATTTTGTTTAAAATAAAAATATGGTATTCATATAATTGTACATTTTAGACTAAAGGATTTTGTGAAGAAGCCACAGGTGACCTCACTGAAGATAAGGTTTGAAGTCTAATCTGTTCATCATAACTGAATCTATCACACATGTCAAGGGCAGGGGGTTGTTCCTGACAAATTACATTTTCAAGTTTGATGGCAGCATTCTGAAACAAAGAACAAAGCATAGAACATGCTCTTTAAAATGTGGGAACAATCCATAAATTAACAAACCTTAATTGATTGAAACAAAGGTTCTGGAATTTTTTAATGTTAAACTTTTTAACCTAAGGCCCTTGTTCCAGAAAGAGGAACAATCAAAATCATTAACATCATTAACATTCTTTATTTTTAATGATAATCTAGCGCTGGAACCATTCTTGATTAAGAATACAAAGCAAAGGAACAAAATGAAACAGGGAAGGAAAGATTAAAAAAAGGGAATCCTTGTTCTAGAATGAGAAAAGAACGCAATAAAAAAATAAACATGGACAGCCCTACACATGTATGAACTGACCAGACCAACTGGGACCAGAAACCCCTCTTGATTTTGTTTACTTAGCTTTATTGCAATTTATAAAAGGAATTTAAAAGAACTTTTTCATGCTGAGTTTGGTGTATATATTTCTCTTAGGAATTGAAGTAAACTTTTTATGGTAGCACAACAAAAAGTTGGGTTCCTAATACTGATACATCTGGAAAAGCCAAGAAATTATTTCACAAAGCACAATTAACATTATAATTGTAGAATTTACTTTGGCCTAACTTTTAGAGAAAAGGATTGATAAAACTAAAAAAACTTTTGTAAACGAAAAACGAGACAATAAAATCATAGTTTTTGAATATTGTTTATAGGAATTGAGTTTTTGCCACAAACTCTGATTTTCTCATTCCTATATCTTTACAACCGACCCAATGGTGTAGATATTTCAAACTACAATATATATAAGATAAAACACCTAGGTTTAAAATATCAAAGGTTTTCACCATCAGGTTACACAGATTTAGGGATTAGAAAATTGGAGTTTTTGGCAGAGACAAAATTCCATGTATACATTAATGACATACTGTCGACATTGCCTTTCCATAACAAAACTGATTTTTCAATTTTTTTTAAATAATCGTTTTTTTACCCTATCCCTGCTGGGGTACTTGTTAACCAGGATATGCAAATTGACCCCCCCCCCCCTCTAAATCCCATGTTTGATGTCCAAATATGACAAATGATACATCATTGGAAAGCTCTTGTGCTCTACTTTTAGAATCTGCAAAAAAATTTGCAAATTTGCAAAAATTGAATTTTTTATCGCAAAATCCAGTTATATAGTTAAAAATATTTGCCAAATAAAATTGTCCAAAAAATGAAAAATATACATTTTTTAAAATCCCTTGACCATGCCATTTTAAATATGCAAAAAATTTTGCAAAATTTTAAATTACCTGATTTTTAATCATGAAAAACTAAAACTGTGCAAATTTGACAGGTTGTTTGCAAAAAATTGGCAATTTTTTTTCGCAAAACTTGTGCAATCCGTTTTCTTGTGTCTTAGGCTTTCCAAAAAGCTAAATTTTATCAAAATCTGACAAGTGAAAGTGGGTCAAAACAAAGATTTAGTTTGTTACAGGAAAAAACAGTCATTCAGGCAGTGTGCCTGAGGACTCAGGCAGATAGTATTTAGGGCCGGTTTTAGGCCTAAAGGGAGGGCTTTGGGTATGTAGGAAAATTCAAAAATTTCAACAGCCTCAGACCAATACTTTTTAAGTTATGTAAAAAAAACTACAGGGGGGGCGTCAACTTGACCCCACCCCAAGCAGGAATAGGGTTAAAACTAATGTTTAAAAAATAATCGTTGTGTTTCCCTTCTTTAACGACATTATCAAATCAAAAATTAATCTCTTTATTGATACCAATGTTTTACCGTAAAAAAAGAAAGTGATTAATAATATTAATTTCCGAAATAAAAATACAATTTCATGATACTTTGTCAGAGCAACTTTCATTTATATGTTTTTTTATTATACTTTAAGGTTTTTGAAAATTGTAAACTGAATATGGCGAAAACCTTGGGTTCTCTGTGCACATTAACTACAGTTGACGAGGTACAAACAACTAGATTCTAAATCTAATCTAGTACAATAGATGGCGATGTAGAATTTGTACACTCTCAGTACAGCTGTATTTTTACATTGCAAGTGTGAACTTAGTTTTTGTGTCCGACAATATCATTATTAATAGTGATAGTGATTTTACAGTAAAATAAGTGCAATTTTAAGTGTTCTTTTTTTCTGTTTGGTTTTAGACATTTTTATTTATTTAATCTTGGAAAATATGTCAACTTTTATTAGATAACTTCGTTTTCCTCCTCATATTTGACACTTGTGACGTCATGTATAATTGGTCCATCTCTCTGCTGCCACCTATTGTACTTGATAATCTATTTGGGTACAACAAAAAAAAGGTTAAAGGGTGGTAGGCGATTGAGTCAATAAAATGAAGACAGCTTTCAATTTTATCTTTGATTTTTATCAAGTTTTTAAACAGCATGGATACACAAAAGCATGAAAATAAAGTAAAGCTGTCAATTAAAAAAGGTTCTCTTTAATTACTCTTAAATTTATAATTCGAAAAAAGCTGGTTAACAATTAAAACTGAAATAAAAAAGTATTCTGTATTATATTGATGTAGTCGCCTGCCACTGTAGTAGATAAAGGGAATTAGGGATCTTTTAGTTTTACAACAATATGAGAAGGTTCCAACATTTTAAACTTTATTCTGTAGAAGTTTGCTTTTATCAAACATGCAAATTCGATATCCTAGAAGAAAATATTAGGAAAAAACTATTGTTTTAAAACCATCGTTTTGGGGTTTTTAAAACAAACGTCACTTGCATTTAGGGTTTCCAGTCGTAATTGCGTTACATGTAATTACACGTAATTACGCGTAACACTTTCTTTCACTTACAGAGGAGCATTACGCGAAATTACATGCTAATTATGTACATATAAGAAAGTCTAGTTTTGCATAATGAAGGCGTAATTTCGCGACATTACGTAATATGAAACCATTTCGTAATTTGTAACTCTCAGAAATGAATATAGGGGAAAATATGTGTAAGAATATGTGCGATACAACCATGCCCAATCTGATTGGATAATTTAAATACTGCCAAATTAAATTAAAACTCAGTGATTGTGATGGAACAAACCTCTGTAGAGAAAAAAGTAGATGTTAGTTACATTTTTTGAAAATATATTTCAGTCTAGGTTGACCAGGTTGTCAGTTCTAATGTTATAATAACCATCAAAATCAATGTTAAAAACCACAAGAAAATAAACAAACAAAAAAGATTATTTAAAAAAAATTAAATGGTCTGTCAAATGGGCAACAGGGAAACTATCTCTGATCATGAGATGGATAAAAGAAAATTTGCAAATATTGACATCTTAAAAACTAAAAATCAATTCCAAATGACATTATTTTTCTCAAGTCTACACATGTATCTATATTATAAATATATATATATATATATTTATATGTCAGCTAAATCTGGCCAAAAGGTTAGACTTAATTTGGCCTGACATTTTGAGGGAACCCTAGAGTACCCCGGAAGTAGCTATACAAAAACTTTTTCTTTCGAAATTCGCTCTTTTTCAAAAATCTAATTTTTTTCAATATTCATCTTTTTGAAAAAATTCACAGACAACACTGGGCACTTCCGCTATTATAATATATGTTGAAAATTATATATTTTATTTGTAGGCTGGCGAACTGCTGTACTGTAAGAACAACCTTCACACAGTTTGTTGCTCGAGGAACACTTCGTGTCAACGTTGCAATTTAAAATAAAAAATAAAAAATAATTAATCAAATTAGGATTAAAAATATTGAAACTATTTTCAATTAAATAAATGCCTTAAATATGTGAGCTATTGTAAAAACATTGTTAAAACATTTTCGATTTTTAAAAGAGTTACTGATTTTACAATCATATAGATGTTTATTATAATACTCTGCCTTTATAACATTTATCCATTTTTATTATGTCAAACTTTTTTTTGATTTGATCTTGGTTATTAGTTCTAATGTATCTATTTACTCCAGAAATATTGATTTGTTAAGTTTAACCTTGATATTTGTGACAGAAACTATTCATGTACAAGTAACTGGAATACTATCAGTGATAACTTTATTGATGTTGCAGTCAGCTTCCTCAAAGATCAGGTTAGATTAATAAATTTATTAATGAAATGATTGATTGATAGTTTATCACTTATCAATGGCAGTCCAATGTTGCATCATGCCTATATATTACAAATCAATTTTAATCAGTGTCCTTTTTTCTATTGATAATCTGAATAATTTAAATACTCCTCATAGAGTTTGACAAAAACTTTTTGAATGTATCACGTGGTAATGTTTTCAGAAAAAGTATCTGGCAGAAGAAAAAAAGAAGGGATACGAATCTTGTCACTCTTTGAATTCAAGTATGTAGAATATTTCCAAATACGTATTTCTCTTATTTTTATTCTCTAAAATTCATTAAAGGGACTGTAAAGTATAATCTTAAGTTACTTTATATTAAAAGATGGTACAGCTCTATTTTATTCAACTGTACCCTGAAAAGCATTTTTTACACAAAACTTTTCCGAATTATTTAAATTTAAACCTAGAAAAACGACAATATCTCAAATTATTGAGAAAAAATAAGTTTTAAAGTACAACTGTAAATCGGGTAAACCATCTTTGCATGAAGGAGCTCTTGAAAAAACGCTTAAAGTTTCTTTATGAAGTAAATATATTTGAAACAATAGGTGTTCCAACCTGAGACAATTTACACAACCTTTACTAAATATAAATCATTACATACTCCTAGGGTTGTTAATGGTTTTTGTAAACGATCGTTAAGCGATTGTTAAACGATAGTTTTTTGTTTCGTTTTCAAAAACGATCGTTTCGTTTTCGGAAAAAAACTATCGTTTTTAAAAATGACCCACTCGTTTTGAACTTTTAGAAAACAAATAGCGATCGTTTTTGAAAACGATCGTTTTTATTAAAATGATTTGCGACCGTTTTTTATACGATTGTTTTAAAAAAACAATCTTTTTTGAAAAAAACAATTGTTAACGAAACGACGAACTTTATTAAAACGGTTGTTTTTTGGAAAAAATTACTTGCAACTTTATTGAATGTCGTCTTACATGAAGTTTAACAGTTGTGGGAGAGTTAAAACTCCTTGATATTTTCTTAAAAACTACTCAATGATAAGTACAGATGCCCTTCAGGTCGGTTTCCTCTCTTCGTTAACGATCGTTAACGAAGGGTCGTTGTTAACGATCGTTAACAAAACGAGGAATTTTATAAAAACGATATTTTTTAAAAACGAGCGTTTTGAAAAACGATCGTTTTAAAAATGACCATTTTTAAAAAAACGATCGTTTTTAAAAACGATCGTTTCGTTTTCGATTTATCATAACGAAACCATCTTTTTTTCTGAAAAATGAAAATGTTAACATCCCTACATACTCCGCAATATTTAAACAATTAAAGTTGGAAATTAGTTTGTTTAATATAAAAAGAAATAATAAATATTCAAACTTGGCATGACCAAATTTAGAAAAAAAAAATAATTCAAAATTATGAACATTTCAATGAATGTTTTAAAGTAATAATCTATAAAACTTTAATACATGCCAAACTATCTAAACATGATGAGGTTAAATTGCCTTAAGGTTTGGATGCCAGTATTTGCCAACAGGATTGCACAAAATATGAAGAATCTGATTTTGCAAAAAAGTGCAAAAAGGACGAAGGATATTTTAAGTGCTGCGTCAGGAAAAATTCTTTATCATTTTTCATTGTTATTGTTGGGTTTCATTAAATAAGGGTTGGAAATTGGAAAACAAAATTTAAATTCGTTTTTAAATAGTTTAAACAATGAAGATTGATATATGTCTAGCAAAAATGATGGAATATAAATCAATGGATAAAGGATACGTCATTGTGATTAAAGGAACCAAATATTTTCTAAAAAAAAAAATTAAACTGCCCAGAGGTCGAATTTAACAAATTTGAGACGAGGCAAAATTGGGTTGTTCCACTCAAAATCGCATTCAATGTTTCAAGCTTTAAGCCGGCACTTAATTATAACCTGTTTTTGGGAGATTTGAGACGCGGCTTAAATTCATTAAATTCGGACTCAAGTTAATGAAAAAAAAAACCAACGATAAAGAATGTTAATGAAAGGAGGGATAAAGCAAACTGTCATGAGTGCAGATTTTGCTGTACACTTCTCATGTGCACTTTGAGAATAGGCGGAAACGGTAAAAAAACTAAAGATAAATGAGCTTTAAATCATTTAAAACTGAAAATAAATTTATTAGTTAGTTCTCATAAAAATATGCAAAATAGACCAATTTGAGGAATGAGACATTATAGTTTATCTTTTCTTTTGACCAAGGCTAATGAGTGAAATTACTAAATAATAAATAAATAAAATTTATTTTTTTGTTTAGAAACTTACACAGCATTTTCCACGTATGAAATGGTCTCAAATACAACTGTACAGGATTCTAGGCAAAGATTAAATACACATAGATGTGAAGGCAGGTAGAAACTTCCTACCTAAATAGCTTGTAGCAGACAACTCTTATGTGTCGCTCTTTAAAAAGTTGAGAAGAGAGCATCTTGAGTAATTCTATACTCCTTCCTCTCACTGTACTACCATCTGTCGAAAATACACATACTAACACATACTAACATACTGTACGACAATAGGACCTGCTGTTACTAGTAATCATGCACTTCAATTAATAGGTGTAATTGGTATGACAAATGGACCTGTTGATTCTAGTTAGGGTTTCCAAGCAAAATTTTTTGCACGAAAATCATGCACTATTTGTGCAAAGATTTTTTACGTTTTGAGTGAAAATTACACAACATTTCGATATAATTTTGCCTTGATGCGCAAAAGCTATTTCGCGAAAATTATGAAGAAAATCTTGGTTTTTGCGCATTTTGTTTTTTTCTGCTATTTCATTATTTCGAGCTATTTTGTTATTTCGAGCTATTTCATTAAATTTTGAGAAACAATTCAAGGAGGAAATAAATTAATCCAAAATTAAACCAATCAGAGCCTTACTATATTCCGGCCCGCTCTCACCTGCAGCACCTTTGGCACTTAAACAAGAGAAATGTATACATTTCTATATAGATTAATAAATAAATGAACATCTAGTGATTACATCTTTGTGGCCTTTTTTCAAAACACATTTATCATAACTAATTTCTAATTAAGAAAGTAAACATTTTTACCGTGTCAAACTATAGAAAACTATTATAATGAAATTATTGTCTATGAATAAAATACTGCAGATATGAAAGTTGTTTTGTACTTAAACTAATTCTATCACACTGTTCAAAAATTTAAATCTTTTATGTATAATGTGTAATGATATAAATATTACTTATTTTCGAATTCATGCGCAAAATCATGCAGAAATTATAACTTTTATTATGTATTCATCCGCAATTTTGTGCAAAAAAAATATTTATTTCGAATAACTACGCAATTTCATGCAAATCTGGTTTCATATTGATACAAAAATGATGCAAAATTTTGTGCAAAAAAGTCATTTCATGCAAAAACGCATAACTGTTGCGCAAGAGAATCTACTGTTTTGTGGAAACCCTAGTTCTAGTAAATACAGAATCAGATAATGAGACTAAAATACCAATTCTAAATTTCTACCTGCCTTCATATGTTTATCTAATCTATGATTCTAGGACAGAAAATGAAATTAAAGCAAAGGAAAACTTTTATTTGCCATCTCATATGTACAAACAGCCAGATTATAGGTAGTATATTTCTAGTTAAAAAGTTATAAGCACGTCCTAATCTTAAACTTCTCTTTAGCACCCTAATTTTCAATATATAGACGGAAAATTTTTTTCCGCCTAAATATGCCGATGGCGAAGATGTCAGGTAATAATTTTTGACTTTATATGTTCGCCATCGGTTTGACGGAGATTACATGTTTTCAGGGTATCACATGAGAAAAAATAGTTTAAGGGATGTTTTGTAGTTTTTTTCTAGCATACACTTCTCTAAAATTTTATTTTGATATATGCCTTGCAAATAACTTTAATTGAAGGATATAGATCCTCCAATTTAAAATTATCCCCCTTAGATATTAAGATCATGTGTCCAAGATTATTGATAATCAGACCTTTGTAATAAATGTTTTCTAAATAAATCATACCTTCAAAATCTAAAAAAATAGAAAAAAATTTACAATAATCAAAAAAAAAACTATTTATTTTTAGATGTTTAAACCCAGACAGCAATGAAGATCCAACTAAATGGGGAGCATATAATCCAAACCAATTTGCAAATGCTTTATCTAAGGAAAATTATGTTTCCAATAATTTCTTGCATATTTTTAAACTTACAATATACAAATTTACTAATACAATTAAGACAAATTCATAAAGAAATATATAATAAATGATGGTAGAAAATAAACTTTTTATAGGAGGAACAGGAACAGGTAAAATAAATTGATTAGTATTAGGGAAATTGTTTCATGAAAGTTTAGCAAAAAATGCGAAATAGGACAAAGATGTGCAAAAATAATAATGTGAAAATGTTGCGAAAAAATAGTGTCAAAATTTTGCAAAAAAATAATGCAAAATTTCGCAAATTTGTTATAATGCAAAAATTTCGCAAAAAGAAGACAGGAAATTATGTAAAAAAACACTCAAATTTTGTGAAAAAATCTGTTCATTTCAAAGATTTTTTCTTTTAATTGGCTGGCTCAGCTGACTAGATTTGGGTGGACGGACAGAAACTAGATAGCTAGAGAAATCAAACTTTCTTAAATAAACATTTATTATTAGAAAGAGAAATTATTTATATGATATAATAAAACTTGAAATGTTGAGCTCTCAGAGCAGAGAATTTCACAAGTTTTTGCGCAGTGTATTGTTGCAGCTACAACACTTTTTGTTTTGCGGAATTTTTTTTTTCGCCAAAATATTTTCACAAAATATCCGCATTTCGCATTTTCGTGAAAAAAATGTGTGAACTTTTGCACCGTTTTTACATTTTTTATATGATATTATACTTTAGTTTATCACATACCCCTTTAATATCATATTATACTTTAGTTTTCCGCATACCCCTTTAATATAATATAATTTAGGTTAGCACATACCCCTTTAATATGATGTTATACTTCAGTTTACCACATACCCCTTTAATATAATATTTTACTTTAGTTTACCACATACCCTTTTAATATAATATAATTTAGGTAACCACATACCCCATTAATATGATATTATACTTTAGTATACCACATACCTCTTCAATATGATATTATGCTTTAGTTTACCACATACCCCTTTAATATGATATTATACTTTACTATACCACATAACCCTTTAATATGATACTATACTTTAGTTTACCACATACCCCTTTAATATAATATAATTTAGGTTACCACATAACCCTTTAATATGATATTATACTTTAGTTTACCACATACCCCTTTAATATGATATTATACTTTAGTTTACCACATACCCCTTTAATATGATATTATACTTTAGTATACCACATACACCTTTAATATGATATTATACTTTAGGTTACCATGTACCCCTTTAATATGATACTATACTTTAGTTTACCACATACCCCTTTAATATGATATTGTACTTTAGGTTACCACATATCCGTTTGACAACAGATTCTTAAACTTTGAGGACCCTGAGGTTTTGAAGTACATGACTGGAAAAAACAAAACCCAAAAGTGGAGAGAGGTTTATGGATATGATTTCGCATCAAAACTAGGGGATACAAGTGATGTAAGTTGTAAATCCAGAATAACAGAATCAGTTTGTATCTTTGCCTATGTAAGGCGTCCCTTTGCCACCCTCCCCCATTTCTTTGAGCTAAACCATTGAGACAATAGTTTTGCATATTTTAAGATTTTTGGGAGAATAAATTTGCAAAATTCACAAGGGCCAAAACTATAGTTAATTTTATACTATTCTTAATGATTTAAATATATATATATATGAATTATTATATATATATATGATTTATTATCTAGGTTCTTAAAAATTGTATAAAAGCTGAATCAAGTAAATTTGCAAAGAAATGCAAAAAAAGTGGAGGACTGTTTAAGTGTTGTTCAGCCAAGTAAGTAAAATGTGGAATTCCAAACTAATTATAAAATATCAAATCTTAAAATTCATAATATTTATGTAGCTAATCCTTTCAGTAAGCATTGAGTTCATGCATTTTTGAATTGTAAAACAGAACAAATTTCTTCTCGCATAGAGTTTAAAATGTGTATTGTCGGAATCTAAACACTAAGAGTTGTTCAACACTGTTTGCTGTAATTAGATTATCTGTTCTTTAGATTTATAAAAAGATGGATAACAAGAACACTACAGATGAAAGAACTAGAAAAATCTTTGTTTAGGTGGACTTTATCCACATACAACAGTGCAAGAAAAAGACTGAAAGAACTAAAACTGATAAAGTAAGGTTAAGCAATAGAGTTTTAAAAAAATTTGTTTAAATATTTTAATTAGATCTTATGATGAGGATACTTGTAAGGATGACAAATGTTTTATTTCAACAAATCTGCATATCTGCTCTGTGCGGGTAATTCATGTGAATATTAAAAAAAGGTTTCCTGAAATAATCCAAAAATAACATTTTCTTAAAAATCCAATAATACTGTCAACAACTGAGACAATAGAACTAAATATCCAGAAGGGGTAACCAAATGTCTTCTCATGGTTAAACAACATCTTGAAACATGAATTCAGGGGTGAACATGTTGGGCCCAAATACTCCTTGATCCAGAGGAGGGTGCTCTGTATCCATTCCAACGCCCCACCCCCACCCCAGTATGGTTCTGCATAAGTTTATTAAATAATATCTAAAATGTGCACATTTGATTTATTGTTTACAGATTTTATAACATTTTTTAGGACAAATTTTCGGGTCTGACCTCTTTGAAGTTTAAAACACCTTTAGGGTAGCACAGTTAAAAATGTTTGGGATCATTTTCAAAAGCGATCATTTTAGAAACAACTGTTACGTTTTTCTATGTCATCAATGAAAGATTCAGTTTGATTTTCAAAAAAAGAAAAACCCCAACCATTGCCAGAACTATATATATATATATATAAAATTCTTCTAAATCTAACACTCTCAGATCCGTGAAACAAAAACTCTTTTTGCCAAATTTTCGGTTTATTTAACCATCTTCAGGGCAAATTCTTTAACTCGACCAAAGATTAAAGATTATATATAAGATGTCCTTCAAATTCTGTCAATTTTTAAACAGCTATTTCTCTGTATTTTTTGGAATTTTGTCAATCTGTAAAAAGAATTGAGCAACTGTAATATAAACCTTTTGCAATATAAGAAAATATCTGCAACATATATCGTAGAAAAATTTAGTTTTCATACACACCAGTATTTGGATAAAACATTTCACGTGCAGTTTCTCTTTTCCATGGGTAGGGGGGTTAGATAAAAAAAAATTAGATAGCCTGACCTGCGAAGCCAACCTGACTGAAATACTTTTTAAGAAACTTATTTTGTCAATTTTTGCACTAGAGCTGAATTATGCATTTAAGAAAATGGCAGTTATTTTTAACACTGAAAGAAAAAAAAGTGATTCATTTATAAAAAAGAATATTTATATTTTGATTACTTAAATTTTGTTATAGATTGGAAAAATTCCAAATAATTACAAAGTTACAGTAATTTAAAAATTGGCAAGAATAAAAGGACACCCTGTAGTATACTATAGTTTACTATATATACATAGTTGCTTGTACTGTATAACAGATAATAATGTCAATCTTTATTATAACGTTTATATTTTAAACTGTAGTTTTTTATGTAGAAAACCCATTGGGTGGCGCTACCATACATAATGCAGAAAAAGAATATAAATTAATTTCCAATAACTCAGATTTGGTAAGTCATATTTGTATGTCAACTTTTGCTTTTAAAAGATTTTTACTGTTAAAAATTTTTCATTTCTCATGTTTTTTATTTGCAAAATTATAAGAGGACATTGGCTCACCTGTTTTCTCAAATACTCAGGAATAATTGTTTATTTTTGTTTCTTTTTTTTACAAGGCACATGTTTAACATGTTCAACACACATTTGCGAAAAAATTTGGCACATAAACATTTTAGCAGTATTCATCTGTTGACTTTAAATCTAACATTGTTTGTAATTATACATTTCTAAGATCTTACTTTTTTAGAAGCTTGGTTACAGGGGAACATTTTGCCAGTATTTGGATACATGTGCAGTAAGATTTAAAAAGTCATTTTTATATTTAAATTTAAAATTTTATCTGATAAATTTCTTTTTTAGCCTGAACCGACCACATTTGAAGAAATTGGGAAATTTATGCATGCTTATGACAAAGACACCTTTTGCGACTTAAGTAAGTCGTTAAGAGACTAACTATTGTTAACTATTAATTATTGCTAATGTTTTTTTTTCAGAAGATAAAAACGTTGTTACCAACAAAACGTATAAGGTACAACTTAATAACTTACTTTCAATTTTTCGATAAATATTGTTTAAATTCATTTTTAACCATAATCAGTTTTTAATTTATCTAAAAAAATTCTGTGCATTTTCTTCAGTTGAATGCACTAGCTATTTATTTGGAATAAAAATATTTTTTATTAGAGCGATGAAACAAAGGAAGAATGCAAAAAACGAAAGTTTCCGAATATAAGGTTATTTTTTTTAGCCTAACATGGGTTTTCCTCAAATTTTGAAAATGTAGATAAAAAAAATTGTATTGGCTGCTCGAAATGTCATCTAAAGATTTTTACCTTTCTAATGTGTTGCCAAATTAATATATTTTTCATTGCATGCATGCATTAAAAAAATTTTGGATAAAAAAGACAAATTTTATTCCAGGGTGTGTCCTAAAAAAAAATTTTACGAGAAAGATCCTGACAAAGACAAACCAAGTGTTAGACTGTATGAAGGTGCTATGAAACTACTCTGGGGTGAAGAGAGGGAATTTAAAAAGAAAAAAAAAGAAAGTACAAGCAAAGAGGAAGAACAAGATGAAAAAATAGAGAAGAGCAGTGAACAAGAGAAAAAAGAGGTGGGAACATTTAGAGAAAAAAAGGTAGACATTATTAAACAAAGAGGTAGTAAAAGAAAGAACAGAAAACGCAAGGAAAGAAAAAAAGAGAAAAAGAGAAGAGAAGCGAAGAATTCTAGAAAAGAAAAAGAAGAGAACAAATATAGCCTAATTGCAGCAACTATTAAAAAATTGTTTGAAAGTATGTAGATAAAAAAATCTAAAAATTTACTACATTTGATTAAAATTTATACAAATGCCTCAAATGTAAAATAAAATTCTTTTTAATTTGTTACTTTTATTTTATCAGGGCAGAGATGTTCAAATTTTTTTAAATCAAAAATTTTAAAATTTTTGATTGCCTTACAAATTAGGTATAAAAAAACATCAAAGTGTGACAATCAAAATTTTAAATAGTTTTGGTTAACATTTAAAAACTTTTGTGAGTATTTTCTAAGGTTAAAAAGACTGACTGATCTGTTACATATTTTGCATATTTTTGTCTTATCTGTTTCAATTCTGATTTTATGAAATTTTGGAAAACAATAAAATAAACAGTTGTCAGTACATTTTTAAAGAATTTTAATTTTTCCAGGAGCCTCAATGTTTATGAAAACAATTTCAGTTTCTTGGAGGAAAACAATAGTTTTCTCTGATTAGTTTATATTCCTTTAACAAACTGCAGTACTCTTATTCTAAATAAAATTATTGGTGTTCCTGGTGTATCTTTCCTACCACTTTCAGAAAATATGGGAAACTACAAAAAAGAAAAGAAAGATGCAAAAAGTCAGGAAAAATTACAAAAATAGGAAATAGTTTGAAAAAGTCAGAAAGAAAAGATAAAAAGTGAAAAATAAAAGTGAAAAAAGTTAGCAGAAGAGAAAAGGAGTAAACACTAGAACAAGAAAAAGTATTGATAAAGAAAAAAATAGAATTGAAAAAAATATAAAATTTACAGATCATTATGAAACATTTTGTGTTCTTGCTTTTTAGGACAATTTTTGGTCCATGTTTCTAACATTAAGACTATACTAAAATGTTAAAGTCTCTATAATAACTGAAGAATTCAAAATTATTTTGTTTCAGAAGATATTATTTATTACATACAGAACATTAATTTAGAAGTTAAATATGAATGTGAATGCGAAGGTAAATTTGAATGCAAATGCAAATAGAGATAAATATGGAACTGCAAATGCAATTGCCAAGGTAAATGCAAATCAAAATTCAAATGCACATATGAATGCAAATGCAAATGCAAATAAAGATGCAAATGGAAATGCAAATGCAAAGCAAAGGTAAATGCAAATCAAAATTCAAATGCAAATGCAAATATAATTCAAAGGCTTATATTATATTCTGATAAAGTAAACTATTTAAGTTTACAATGGTAGATATGATAGCATCTGCCAGGTCCACTACACAGAAACCAAACAATATTCCAAACCATCCACAGAACTCAGAGATAAACTCCCAGATAGTGTAGATATACTCAGCTTTAGTTACTCTTATCATATTAGGCATCAGAACTGTCAAGTTTAGAGAAGGAGTTGAGTATGGTAAATCCGCCTAAAAATGGGTAAATGTTTTCAACTATAAAAGATGTATATACAATATAAAAATGGGAATTCAGTGACAATTTTAATATCGTCTTCGTAAATGATTTTTTGATTAAGTTTGTTGATGCTTATTATAAGAAAGATAAAGAAAACATTGCACAAAAAGCAAAATTTATGGCCATAGGAATTAGATTTGGCTGTACCTTACTTAACCACCCAAAAAGCTGTGACTGTTGATCACAATTTTACCAATAAAACATAAAGTTTTTGCTTCTTTTTCTTTGTTTTTTTTACTGTTTCAATTTTTAAAGCCATGCTACTAAGTAGCATTAACTAATTAATTACCAGATCCTTATATGAAAACAGTTCAAGGCCTATCAAGGTAACACTGCAGGGAAGGAGACAGGAGTTGACATCTGCTTTAAATTGCTTAGAAATAGTTATGAAATTATCTAAGGTTCTGTTGTCCTCTTTTATACTGCAGGTCTTCATCTCAAGTTCATCAGTATTTCTATAAAAACAGTAAGAAATTAAGAAATATATAAAATATGAGTTAGTCTAATATACTATAAAAGTTTAAAAATGAGGAATAAGGGTCTGTAGACTCATTTGTAATAGGATTTTCAAGATTGAGACCTTTTTTAAAATCTATGTACCGTTTCTGATTGGATGAGCCCACTCACTGGAGTAAGAAAAGTTGGTAAATAAAAGATAATCTTTGTTTACACATAAGGGTCTATGCAGACTTGTTTGAAATCAGATTTTCAAGATTACAACCATTTTTAATATTAATGTACAATTTCCAATTAAATGAGCCTAATTTTAGGCGTGTAGTATTGTATATGAAAGAAAAATACTCAATGCAAACACTTGTAAATAAAATATTCGTCGAGTCGGTTTTTCTTATACTTTATTATTTACAAAGATACAAAAAATATACGATTGATACTATACTAATCAGATATTGTGAATTGAAACAGTTTCAGGGTGATGGGGAATCTTCAAGGGAACCTCAGTTTAAGGGAGCTGATGATCAACTGCCTCTTTTCCCTGGATTTCGCTCCATCCTAGGTTTGCATTTAACCCTAGCTACCCCGGGGTTGGTCCGTCCCCTCCCCAACGCTTGGGTCTTCAAGATAACGGAAAATTCGGCGTCGCTTGGGTTATTTATAGAATCCAAATGCAAACTCAAATAAATCCGTTAGGATTCAAAATAGGATTCAAAAGTCTAACCGTAGGGTAAAAGATGGGGGGGGGGGGAGGGGGCATGATACCCCTAGGTAGCTATGATCTCAGTGATCCAAAAAATCCTTGAATCGCTGATCGTAAAAGATCAATAAAATCGCCCATTGTTACAATATATCAATTTTTAAGGGCTTTTTACAATAAATAAATATTAGATCTATGCATAAAAAAACGTTGCAAAATTTGTTCACAACTATGAAGTTGAAAAAGTGAAGAAGTTTGAGTGTTTGTCATAAATAATACCATGTAAAAATCAATTAATTAAGGGATCAAGTATTTATCCTCAAATTTAAAAGTGTCCACATTGGATTTAAAAATTAACGATACTCCACACCTACACCATAGTTCCGACCTCTGGTGGTATTGACTAAATGTGGATATATTCTGTATAGCAGTTGATAGCACAAATGAAAATTGAATCTATAAATCATTAATATCAAATACTTTCATTTGGAAACACCATTTCCAACTTAAATACATAATATATTTAAAAACAAAATTTAAAGGAATACATATGAAATAAGTAACGCAAGTTTACTTCGTTATTAAAAAATGCATTTTGAAAAGCTCTTCTGAAATATTAAAAACTTAGTCAAGTCCCCACGACAGTTCATACCAAAAATGATTCCACGAAAGATGGGATTTTTATAATGCAACACTTTACTTTATTGTTTAAGCTGATAAAGCAAACCGATCACATATCTTGGTAATAACTTTGTGTGATATGATTACCTTATTTATGAAAATACAAAATTGGGAACCAAGCTTTGCCTAAAACCTATGTTTTCCATATTAAAGGTTGCCTACTCAACTTAAAACTTTAAAACCGTACTGTAAGCACATGCCCGGCCCTGGATTTGCCGAATTCCCCTATATGGTCATTGGGCACATGGGCATAGCGAAAAAATTATTATCAGACATACAAACAAACAAAGATTACTACTTCAAAAAAAATCCCCAATTGTATACAAATTGTATGAATGAGTCTCAAAAATCTGAACATTTATTAATATAAAAATACAACTAATATATATCTGTAAGGTACGACAAGAAAAGTACTTGAGAATATAATACTTGCAGAGAAAGCAATCAAGATTAGATATTAGTTCTTAGCTGGAGGGAGCGTTTCCTTCAGAAAACACAAGAAATTACCAAAAATGAATTTCATATTTTCTTATTTAGGTTAAAGAATGAAGGATTGTGCACAAATATTAATTTTTGCTATATTTGCATCATATTTTCTCTCGAAATTCCTTTTTTTTTAATGGGATTTTCTTTTTACTTTTGATGCGCAATAACAATATTTATTTTGCTGTATTTGTGGCAAATTTTTTTTAAAACATGCGTTCAAAATTTGCAACAAAAAATAAGACAATTGTTATCCTTTTTTTTAGCTTGAAAAGTGTTGTTGTATATTTAGTTTCTGAATTTGTATGAATAAACAAAAATCATTAAATCTTTTTGTATTTTTTCCCCACTTTGTTTAATTTTGTAATTATTCCACGTTTTAAACTTTGAAGAGAAAACTTATTTTTTATGATTTTAGATGAAATGTCTCTTTTCCTAAACTATAAATATCTTCCTAAACATGTGTCTTTTCCTAAACTATATATATCTTCCTAAAACATGTGTCTTTTCCTAAACTATAAATATCTTCCTAAAACATGTCTTTTCCTAAACTATATATATATCTTCCTAAAACATAAGTCTTTTCCTAAACTATAAATATCTTCCTAAACATGTGTCTTTTCCTAAACTATAAATATCTTCCTAAAACATATGTCTTTTCCTAAACTATAATATCTTCCTAAAACATGCGTCTTTTCCTAAACTATATATATCTTCCTAAAACATGTGTCTTTTCCTAAACTATAAATATCTTCCTAAAACATGTCTTTTCCTAAACTATATATATATCTTCCTAAAACATGTATCTTTTCCTAAACTATATATATCTTCCTAAAACATGTGTCTTTTCCTAAACCATATATATCTTCCTAAAACATGTGTCTTTTCCTAAACTATAATATCTTTCTAAAACATGCGTCTTTTCCTAAACTATATATATCTTCCTAAAACATGTGTCTTTTCCTAAACTATATATCTCTTCCTAAAAAATGTCTCTTTTCCTAAACTATATATATCTTCCTAAAACATGTATCTTTTCCTAAACTTTATATATCTTCCTAAAACTGTCTCTTTTCCTAAACTATAAATATCTTCCTAAAACATGTGTCTTCTCCTAAATGTCTCCGTAAACCCCTCCTGTCTCGGAACTTGACAGGAAATATGTCAGATTCCCGGATTTGCATCCCAATATTTATCAAATCTGTCAAAATCTGGTTCTATGGCAAACTCCATCAAAACAGTCTGGGGAAATTTTTTACAATATCAAAATAAAATATATTTTTTAGATATCTTTGTAGAAAATTACCTCTACCCATGTCTTTTTAAATTAGAAATCATTACGAGGCGTTTAACTTTTGGGATGTGGAAATGGAGTGGATACAAAACGCCCAAAACAAAATGTCCGATAACAAAAAGTCCAATAACAAAACACCCAAAACTACACATTACCCAAAAACAAAACGCCCAATGTTACAAATCGCCCAAAAACAAAACACCCAAATTACAAAAAACCCAAGATAACAAAAAGCCCAAATTTACAAAATGTTCAAAGTTACAAAATGCCCAAAATTACAAAATGTTCAAAATTATAAAATATCCACGGTTAAAATATCCAAGGTTACAACTTTTTGGTTTTTTGTACTATTTTTATGTTGATTTGACCTTGTCTATAACATTTTTGACAAGGTCTTGAACATTGATACAACTTTTCATAACGGTCAGTATCAGATGGGTTAAAAATCCTTACTTACTAACAAACTAACTAAAAAGATACAAAATGTCCAGAGATAAAAAATTTCCAAAGTTACAAAATGTCCAAAATTGACAATGTCTTACATTGTCTAAAAATGTCTTGCATTGACTAATAAATGTAGTAAATAACCTTTGTATCTTAGTAACTTGCATACTAAGTGTCTTGTATCTTAGTATCTTAGTAAGTAGGGATTTTAAATTTTTTTTGTTTAAAAATAAAAATACTAGTTTTTAAGTTGTAATTAAACATTTTATTATCTTGACATTTTTAGAAAATTTTGAACATTTTGTAAATTTGGACATTTGGACATTTTGTAATTTTGGACATTTTGTAACTTTGGAAATTTTGTAACTTTGGACATTTTGTATTTTTGGGCATTTTGTAACTTTGGATATTTTGTAACTTTGGATATTTTGTAACTTTGGATATTTTATTATTTGTTTTTTTTTGTTGCTTTGGACATTTTGTAACATTGGACATTTTGAAATTTTGGGTGTGTTGTTTTTAGGTGTTATGTTTTGGGTGTTTTGTTATTGGACATTTTGTTCTTGGGCGTTTTGTATCCACTCCGTGGAAATACAGTGATTGCAAATTAACTAGACAGAAGACAGAGGAGAAAGTCAAATTTATGCGGCGCGGCATTACTTATATGACTTTGTTACCAATATTTATTTAAGTTTGAAAACAGAAGAATATTTAAATGCAGGAAACACTTAAAAAAATTATATTATCAAAATAATGATTTGTAAAAATAAAATAAAATGGAAGATAATGTCTGTCAACATTTTCCATCTTACAAAGGCTGCTCGTGGGGGATGGGACGGGCGTTTGCAACCTTATGCGGTAGACCTTTGATATTTCAATCTACGAATGCATATTAAAGTTAGAAGCTAGTAAGCAGTGAAAAACGATTTTAAAATAGCATTTACATCTATGCTTGTTTTAGAGTATTCTTGAGACTGACAAGTCGTAAGGAAAAACAAAAACAGTTCATATTCATGAAAAAAATATATTTCACATATAAAGAATATAAATAGTTGTGAATGCTTGGCCAAGATTTTGCTTGTAATTGATCCGGGAAATATCATAAATATTTTGATCATAATCTTGGAACATCATGGAAGCTACAATTCTTTTAACAGTTTTTATACATTTATATTCATCCCATTCTTATAGGGAATGTTCACAAAATTTATAAAGGGGGTATGTAATCATAATCTACCAATCTCATATCTTTAGGGTGGTGTTTTATTAGCTTTTGATCATCAATAAATTCTGATTTTTAATGTGCCCTTGCGAGCCATTCATAATGCTGCACTTTATGATCCCTTTCTGGGAGCTTAAGGGATTAATTGAGTATTAAATAATTCGGTTTAAGTGTTCAAATTCTCATCAGAGGCAGAAAAATTATTTTTACAAATTATTTTTATCAGAGAACAATAAAGTTTAATGAATTCTTTACTCGACAACATCCTTAAGGCTATAGAGAAAAGGACTTAAGGAACAAAGCTTTTGTACTAACTGTCTAGCCATTACAATGGCATCTATGTATGTGTTAAAAGTTAAAACTTCTTTGTCTACTGAGCTTAAATCTGGCATTTAGCTTTTTTTTAAACTATGACTAGGGTTGTTAATCATTTTTGTAAACGATCGTTAAATCGTTTTTCGTTTCGTTTTCAAAAACGATCGTTTCGTTTTCGGAAAAAACGGTGGTTTTTAAAAACGATCCACTCGTTTTGAACTTTTAGAAAACGAATAGCGAACGTTTTTGAAAACGATCGTTTTTATTAAATCGATTTGCGACCGTTTTTTATACGATTGTTTTAAAAAACGATCGTTTTTGAAAAAAAACTTTATTGACAATTATGTTAACGATCGTTAACGAAGGGTCGTCGTTAACGATCATTAACGAGGGTCGTCGTTAACGATCGTTAACAAAACGACAAACTTTATCAAAACGGTCGTTTTTGGAAAAAAATACATGCAACTTTATTGAATGTCGTCTTACATGAAGTTTAACAGTTGTGTGGGAGTTAAAACTCCTTGATATTTTCTCTTGAGAACTACTCAATGATAAGTACAGAT